CCCGGAGCCCAGCCCCGGCCCGTGGGGCGAGGAGCACCCGGCGGACAGGAGCCTCCGGGGCTGGGAGAGGGCGGGCGACCGCAGCGACCCTCCCGCCGCGGACGAGGCACGGCGGCCCGACCCGGAGGCCGAGGCGCCCCCGGCGCGGGGCGGCGAGGCCGCCCAGAGCGGCGGGGCCGAGGCGGTGATCGTCTCCAGGTCGGATCCCAGAGACGAGAAACTGGCCCTGTACCTGGCGGAGGTGGAGAGGCAGGACAAGTACCTGCGACAGAGGAATAAGTACCGTTTTCACATCATTCCCGACGGCAACTGCCTCTACCGGGCGGTCAGCAAGACGGTGTACGGGGACCAGAGCCTGCACCGAGAGCTGAGGGAACAGACGGTGCATTACATCGCCGATCATCTTGACCACTTTAGCCCCCTGATTGAGGGCGACGTGGGGGAGTTCATCATCGCTGCTGCTCAAGACGGGGCGTGGGCCGGGTACCCGGAGCTGCTGGCCATGGGGCAGATGCTGAATGTGAATATACATTTAACTACTGGAGGGAGGTTGGAGAGCCCCACGGTGTCTACCATGATTCACTATTTGGGCCCAGAGGATTCCCTAAGGCCTAGTATTTGGCTCAGTTGGCTCAGTAATGGACATTATGATGCGGTGTTCGATCACTCCTATCCTAACCCAGAGTATGACAGTTGGTGCAAACAGACTCAAGTGCAGAGAAAACGCGATGAGGAACTTGCCAAATCCATGGCCATATCCCTGTCCAAAATGTATATTGAACAAAATGCATGCTCTTGAAGTGGCTGAAAACCCACACCCTGGGAGAATTGCATACGTGATTTGTGTCGGGAGAATTATGAACTCTAATCAGGGTAATAGCACTTTTAAACTTCCTAGTAGATTTACTGTAGGTGTAATGCCTTAATCATTTTTTTGAATGTTTTCTCCTCAGAGCTGAAGGTTGCTGGGCACCTAAATGATGTTTCATGATGGCTTTCGGTGATCCTACTGTCCTACTGCTATTTATAATTTGCTGTATAAAGTTGGCACTACTTAATTTGCAAGCTAGTTTCTCACGGTGTAAATTTGTTCATTCCTGGTCATCTGTTTTCTACACAAATGTATTTTTGCACAACATTTTTAAAAATTGGTGTACCTTCACCTATGACGTGTGTTCCATTTTGACAGCTTTCCAGCATAAATCCAGAGAAGCGCTTTACATGAAGTTTCTTACTTTGAACAGAGTTTTGTGATTTAGTAGTGATTTTATGTTGTTCACTTTGAATTTTACGATTCTTAGATAATTATTTCGAGTGGATATTGATGCGTTCGTGTTACCAGACTGATTGGCCCATTCCATTTTGATGAAAACCAGATTTGTTGTTTTGGAAATCATTATTTTTCTAGAAATGGTAAACCTTTTAAAGAGAAACACTTAAGGGAAGGTTGTGGGAGTTTTCTTTAAGGGATAGTACCAGCTTACTTGAATGAAAGTCTGATGTTTGCTGATGGTACAGTGACAACTCTTCTTGTACTTTGGTTGGCATTTAGAGTAGATTGGTGCTCTGAACCGTTTTTATTTATATTTGTCATTTTGTTATAGAAGCATTTTAACTTTGTGACAAGATAAGCCTCCTGCTTTGTATGGCTTCTCGGATTCAACTAAGAGATTTGAAAAACTAACAACATAAATGCCTTGAATCAACCGTGGCGGTTGTTTCACAGCAGGAGAATACCGTCTTAATATTTTATTCCTTTTAAATTCTCTCAAAAGGCAAAATAGGATTGCCCTGTATTATGTACAAATAAAAATGTCTGTAAACAGATCTTGTATGGTTTGCTGGGTCAAACAGTGTTCCCAACCTGAAATCTATCTTATTTCCACTTTAACTACTTTCAGTCCTATTTATTAAGTACTGCAGTTTGTACTTTTTTATTTTGTAACATTTTGTGATTTTTTTGTACAATGCTGTATTTGTACAATAGAGCGATTCTCAGCTGATGGAATGAATGAATAAAATGTGTAATTTTACTTTGGCAATGTCTTTTTGGCTAAGGCCGTTTTTGAATTTCAAAAGTGACACTTGTGGGAGCTTTTCTTACACGTATGTGCCTTTTTTCCGTGTGTAAAGCTGTCACGGAATTCTGAGGGAGGTTTCTTAAGTTCTCACGTGAACAGGGTAGGATAATCATTAGTCATTTCACAGGATAAGTCTTTGAGAAATATAATTTAAAGGTGGAGTAACTGAGGACATTGCTCTCATTATTTCTAATTATAATTCCTGTCAAACTATAGAGGATGGCTACTAAACAGGGAAGTGCAGGTATTGTGTTAGCCAGCACAGTGTCTAAGTATCAGCGTTTTGCGTTTCACTTATTCTCAGCACAGATTCACATGTTTCAAAGAGTAACCAAAGCAGTGCCCTAATTTTTATCCAGTCTGGCATCTGGAGACCACGGGAATCTATTAAGTTTAACACGTGTTAATCGGATTTACTTTACGAGCACACCTGTGTATATATAATCGGGGTATGTTGTTTATCGTAGAATAAAAACAGCTGCTTTGGATGTTTTACTTTACAGTTGATAATGGCATCTGTTTATGTGTCACGTGTCTAGGCACATTTGAGCTTGAGTTCATTGCTTAACCACATTTTTGGAAGAATGCCATTGGTTAGCAGGACAATTTCCTTTAAATGTTAACTAATGAACTTTTTTAAATGTTAACTAATCACGCATCTCTGCTTTTTTAGGCAAGATAAGGTTTGCCTCATGGCATCGCTGATTAACTTGGGGAAAAAAATTATTTGAATCACCTAGCTAAATATGGCTCTTTCCTCTTCTCCCCTTTATGTAGACATGTATAAAATTTGGATATGCTTAAAACTTACACATATGAATAGGCTAATTAGGTATAATTTCCTAAAAAGCATTCTAGAAGCCCATGACTATTCGGAAGAAACCGATTTCTTCTGGGTTCGGTTTCATTTTTGAATTAGAGTCCCAACTCCTCGATTGAGATTCTCAAAGGTGTGTGTTAAAAAAAAAAAATTAACGAATCCTAAGATTGTATTGCACGGCAACACGTTTTTTTAGCGGTCTCGCCTAAAATATCTGTGTCTTTCCCATTGTCTTTCTTTGGCTCGGGTTTGTTTTTGTTTTTGTTTTTGTTTTTTTGAAGAAGTGTCGTGTCGTAACTCCCTTACACTCAGTATTTATTCTCTGCTGTCATCCCAGGTTTATATATTTAGTAGCAGTGCTGGGTCGAGCGTTGAAGCGGTGGAAATGTGGTGGATGTAATTTACTTACTCTCAGCAGCCAGATTGGTTCATATTCCTTCAGATATTCTCTAAGAAAAGGAAATGCCTCAGGGTTCCTTGAACATCAAAGTTGGTTAGCCTCAGCTTGGGTAAACAGTCTTTATGTTGCCATGTTTTCTCCATAGTTTTTGTATTAAAGAAGAGGATCTTGAGCTAATCTCACTACTTTTTAAAATTTATCTTATGTGTTTTCCCTCTTTCCCTAAAAGGTGAGAAAGTTGAACTCTAAAAGTTAGCTTGGTGCTCAGCGTGCCCATATGGAGGAAAAGTATTAGCGAATAAAAATAGGTTTTAAACCTTTGGACCTCTGATAATTTAACATGCAGGTAAACATAACCGGAGACATTCAAGTGTCTGTATCAGATCTGTCATGGTCACGCTCAGCGATTGTTACATGAAATCCCAAGCCCAGACCTTATTACTCTTTGGAGTGTCTATAACCATCTCAAAGAGTCACCAAGAAACTAGATGGCATTGAATTCCATTTCATTCCCTAAATGTACTAAGTGCACTAGACACGGACTGTATATTATGTTCCCTGTTGAGTCTCTGCGCTCAAACCTAGTAACTAGCAGAGTAAATGCTCAGTAAGTATTTGTTGAAAGAATGGATTGAAGGAAAGCGTGAGCTTGGGACAATATTTGGTGGATGTGAAATTAAGTAAAAATGATTGGATTCTACAATTACAGGTCATTACCACTGACAGAGTAATTCTGAGCTTGTCACTTACAAAAAGGCAGTGAAGTCTTTAATTCTCTAATGGAAAAAGTAGATTTTGAAACCCAAAGATCAGAATTTGATGTGATCTCTGTGTCATCTTGCAAACATCTTGAGAGCTAAACTAAGGAAAATTATTTAAAAATAGAACTTCCATTCATCTGAAGTGATTTTGAAAGTGTTGCCTCAGCCCAGGGGCCTTGCTCTGACTTGCTTTCGGGGTTGCACGCATCTCGAGTCCAGTCTACGCCATTTCCTCATTCTGTTCTGTTTTCTTTCTATAGCCTGGTTCGGAAGGAAACGTTGGACAGATTTCAGGCATGTTTTAGGATTGTTGTGTTCAATAGCACCGGCCTCAGCCTTACACCATTGGTCACCGGGGCCTGGGCAAGCAGATCTATTGGGGGAAAAGAATCGGTGTATTGCCTCCCACTGTAAATTAGGTCAGTGACTATTCTATGAGTAGAGGTCAGAGAGAGAGAGAGAGTTCACTGTCATCAGATTACTAGTAGTAACATCCTATCTAGCCTGGTTTTCACAAGTGAATTTTCTAATGGAGCGGTCTATTAAGGTCTAGAATTTAAAACAAAACTGCTTTCGATAAAATTCTTTTAAGAAGCAGTCTGTGGTGCACTAATTTGCCTTTGTGAAATAATAACGTAGTTTGATCTTCCTTGAATGGCTGAGTGCTTTCATGGTGGCGTGGGTATGTGGACGTGAAGCCACGGCAGGCTGCTGGAGGTCCCACAAGTCCCTTGTACTTTAAAGGATCTCAGAGTGCTCGCACTTTTGTCTTTGTGGTTTATACTTTCCTGTCTCCTCCCTCAAACCTGGTTCCCCATCCTGATTTCCTATGTTGAATTAAAGACACCAATAAGCAGGCTTATCAGAATTGACTCTAGGATAATAGGAAATGGGTTTCTAATCTGAGAATAGGATGTTCTGTTATGAGTAATGTGCTCAGCTTTAGTTTTGGGGCAACGAGAGAGGTTTTTTTGCTTATATTTTTGTCTTCTTTTTACTTGTTTTTTTGAGAGAGAGAGAGAGAGA